CACCTGTTATCTGTACCTGCATCCAATACATGTGTTTCTGTCTTTAATATAAACGCTATACATCCTGCATTAAGAAAATGAGGGAAATATCAGAGACCAAATGCTTGCATAGGAGCATTGGATATATTTACTGACGTTTCGGGTTATCACAATGAAACTGGTGCAGCATATGTGGTTTACTTGTTTTGCACAGAAATAGACTATGGCAAAATTAGATTTGGACCTTACAGTTCAGGTTTTCAAGCCGAACTGGGGATGCTGTCTTATTTGCTCTTAAATGGGTTAGCGAAAACCTGACTGTAAAAGACATATATTAATACATACATATAGAGAGACTCACTATCTGGTTTGAAAGCACTAGCAGATGCTGATAACACTAATGTTTGGTCTCATATATAAAAGATCTCCTTGTAAAAGTTGAGAAAGCACATGAAGTGAAAATGAACTGGGTGAAAAACCATATTGGTGTAATAGGCAACAAAAGGGCCAACATGCTGGCCAAAGAGGCTGCTATGGGAACTGTTATTAGTGAAATGAAGGATTTCTATTGTGATTGCTGGAAAGAGAAATGCAACATTTCGGGAAAAAAAGAAAGATTATTTGTTGAGCTTTGAAGTTTCTAAAAATATGAGAACGAAATGTAATTTTGATTACAATCAAATAATTACTGGATACGGACGCTTCCTGGCGTACCTGCAAAGTTCATCAAATCCTTTGCAATTTGAAAATTATTAATCTTTGTAATTTTTGTAGTTCTGAAGGCAATGGACGACATTTCGTAGAAGACTGCGTATTATTGCGACATGTTGAGGAAGAACATGGTAACATGAAGGAATTCTATTGTCGCCAGAAAGAGATTACATTTACAAAGCATTTGAAGAACCTTATAAATGGCACAGAACAATTTTGAGAATTTTTATTTGATGTTATTAACTGTATTTTTGTTTTAATCTGTCTTGGGTGGGCTGCGTTAGCCATGGGGTCGATTGCTATCGGTTAGGGCGGTTGCAGCATACTCATATATTACATTACATTACATTAGTGTTAGTCGTGTAGTAATTACAAACTTTTATATAATAATCACGTAAAACGTTTACCAAAGAGTATATAGCAGAATTTGATATATAATAATCACGTAAAAAGTAAGTAAAATGTTATTTATGCAAAGTAGGAAAGAAGGCAAATAAGTTTTTTTAGTAGTACTAATTGGATTAACTCTTATATCTTCCCACTGTGATGCTTGAGATTTAAGATCCAAAAAAAAAAAAAGGTACCACTTCATTCTCAAAATACAATGATAACCAATACCAAATCTGCTTCTGAGTTCATAGCTCACATTAAAAATTTACAGCCTTTATTAGTTACTGCAATATAAAGTAACCAATACCTCTTACTTTAAGTAAGATTCATTAATTAATCAATAAAATTCGAGTATTACGTCTCTCAAAGAAATGTTTATTCAAAACCATATCCATAAGCCTAAATTAAAAATAAATGCAAATTATACTGGAAGCTGAATTAAATACCTTTATATAAGTACTTCTTACATTTTATCTCTTTATCATAGTTCTAAGGTAAGCAATTTTGACTCTTAATTCTAATATTAAAGAGATGATACAGCAGCGAAAAAATACTACACTTGCGATATACTTTATATAATAAAGTATACTTTATATAATAAAGTATATCGATATACTTTATATAATAAAGTATATCGCTTAGAACAATGACAGAACAAGTAAATATCTTGCTTTTTAGGCCCAAGGGGCAATTTCCCCGGAAGGTCCATTAATTTAGATTTGGAATTTTGCTTTGGTTCACTATAAAAGTATGAATCACTTTTCAAATTGTTGCCACTAAATATCATGGCCCTGCATTATATTTAAAGAAATTAAATAATGAAGAATCTGCATGAATGTATGCATGTTTCTCGCACTGTGAAAACTCAAAGGTACATAGAATTATGACATTTTGCAAAACGCAGTCCTCCATTTGAATATGGGCATCTGGAAACTCAAATTTGGAATTTCGAATTTGTTTTATTATCTATTTCATATCCTGTACAACTTTAACGAATTTTTAATTAACAAACTCAACGATTTCAAAGCGAGCAATAGCAATACTATAAGAAAAAAAAACATTTTTATCTCAAGCGCGGCAGGCTGTGTATCGGAAATTCTAAACATAAGCTGTTTTTAAATATTTTGTGATGTTGCTGTTTAATTCAATTTTATGGTTTAAGTGCGAAGAAAATGGTATTTAATAAATAAAGGTAACACACAAAACATTGAAAACACAACGGGCATAATATAACATGTGAAAACCTTCAGATTTTTAAAAATTATTGCTGAAGTAATGATACATAAGTCTGAATCTTTCCATGCGTATTAGAGAGAAAATAATAGTAAGTGCGTCATCTTTTTGAGCATTGAAATTTCCTTTAATGCAGACTTTTCACATTTTGCGAGGGATTTCTAACATCTAAATTCGTAATTTTTCGCATATTCCAGTATTATTTTGAGTAAGAAAGAATAGCAAATACTGTTGACATGACTGTATTTTTGTAAATCGGGAGACGTAAAAAATATGTTTACAAGGGATATATATATATAAATATATATGTATATTTAAATTACGTAATATTACAAGGCATGAAAAGAATAAATTATTAAAAATTGTTTAAATAAAAGTAAAAGTTTCACTTAAAGCTTTTAAAAATATAGCGATATATTTCCTTGCAATTTTCCCATATTATATATATGGGAATATTATTATATATATAATATAGCGATATATTTCCTTGCAAATTTCAAAGAACAATAAAATACAATATTACCATAAGAAAAGTGATAAAAATCTCTGAAAGCTTTAAGATTTCATATATCACTCAAAGGGCGTTTTTAAAATTTTGTGTCTCACCTTTATTTATTAAATATTGGCTGGGGCACACGGCTTCGCTCAGGAAGTTGATATGAGATTGTGTGGTAGTTAATAAAAAGATAAAATTTTAATATAAGAGGTAATTTATTTATTGAAAACATATTCTAACTATTTACAATAGTTTTTTTTTTTTAATCGATTTTTTATCAGGGGGTATATATGTGCCAGTTTTTCGAATTTCCTACTCGACAGCAATGTACATATAGCTGACCGTGAGTAAAAGCTGAGGTCTTTGAGGTTGATGCCGCAATATTTTAAATTTTTATCCCTTCGCTTTATTAATTGTAAACCTATAGGGTAATCTGATTAAAAATTGCAATCTTTTAATTTGGAATAGTAGTTCAGTAGATATCAGTGGCATTCTGGGGATAATTACTCTGTGCCCTTTGTCCTTTACAGTCATAAGTTTGGCTTCGATGATGTTATTTGACAGCTGTTTGACAACCATCCTTGTTCCATTACGTAGTTTTGGTGAGTTGAGATTTCTGAGTAGTATCATCGGAGATCCAATATTCAGTCGAAGGGCAGTGTAATGGCATTCCTAGTACTTGCAAAGAGTTTAAAAATTCTGTAGAAAGTTAACACTTTCTTTAACATTTATCATCGTGCCAATCGATTTGCATATTCTCTCTTCACCGGGAATTTTGTTTTTGAATATTAAAGTTGATATCGTGAACAATATTATTTTTAGTTCCCAAAATAGCCACTCTGGATTGGTACAATTGCGACTAAGGTTGGGAAGCATGCATTGATTTCATCTGCTGCTGTTGACTTAAGGATAACTGGTTGTCGAAAATCTACTGAGAGTATGAGTAGAGCTCCTCCCACCACTTCAGAGTTTCTTCGAAAGTCTTGTAATGTTCTGCGCATGGCTTCGAGAGATTTTTTATATGCCATTGTGCATTCGTCACAAAAGATAATTTTAGCTTGTTTTAGAATTTCACCTCGTCCAGATGCTCTTGAGATTTTACGTACCGCGAATTGTTCTTCGGCTATATTCAACGATAGTTGTAGGGCGGAATGGGCAGTTCGCCCTCCTTTCCAAAAGGTGTGGCGGCTATGCAAGATAATGCCAGTGCGGGTGCGATGTGTTGTTTAGCACGTATTTCTACCAGCAATAGATTTTTTAAAAACATTTTCGCGGTGCGTCCAAGTAAATAATTCCGCCAGTGCTGTTGTTGATCCGGTCCATGATATCGTTGTAAATAATTTTTTGTTTGTCATTGAGTGCTGGTTTGTTGTGAGCAATGTACTGAAGTAGCTCGTTTATGTTGTAGCTTTTTTCCTTTGTAATTTCGAGTTAAGCACACTGAAAGCATCTTGTCGTGGGGCTGGCATTCCAAGTTGTACTAAAGTGTTATTTTTTATTGCTAAACATTTATCTTCTAGGCGAATTGATTGCTTCATTGACGATGTCGTCGTTGAATTCGATGGTCAGTTCTCGATGAGCTTGTCGGATTTTGTACAGTATGTCATCACTCATACTATCTTTGCAGGAGTTTCATAGCTGTTCCGGATTCGACGGGTTACATATTTTTAGAATTATGGCGAATAAATCTCTGATTATGTTCTTCGCACTTAAGCCACATAAAATTCACTTCAAAGCAATATTACAAACGGCATATTTTTCGAATATCCGATAGACAGTCTCTCGCCGCTCATGGTAAAAAATTTTCCCGTCGCTTTGAAATCATTCAGTTTGCTAATCAGAAAAAATTGATAATAAAACAAATCCGAAATTTAAAGTTCGGTCTTCCAGGTGCCCACGTTCGGGTGGGTGATTACGTTATTCAAAATTTGATAGCTCTAGGTACCGTCGGTTTTTCACAATGCGAGAAACGTACCTACATTCATGCAGATTCTTCATTATTTAATTTCTTTAAATATAATATAATATTCGGTGGCAACAATTTGAAAATCGATACGCAGTTTATAGTGAACCGTCGCAATAATGCCATTTCAAGGCTAATAGCCTTTCTGGGCCAACGCTCTTTTGGGCTAAAAATTTTCGAATGCAAAAATTATAAATAACCTAAAGAATAGTAAAAGTTCTATCTTACCAGGTCTTCCAGCTCGCCTCCCATTGCCCCACCTAGCTGCAAGAAAGAAATCAAAACCGTCAGATCAAAATTAAATAAGAAATACGCTTTTTAAAGTTGCTACTTATGAAACAAAACATCAGAAACTTGAAGTTATAAAAATAGTTGTTTGAAAAAAGTTAAAAAGCAAAATGCATTAATTTATTAATAAATGGAACAGAAATTATTATTTTCACATAAAATACGGTTTCATAACATATATTTTTTACTTATTGCATTAAAAGTGCAAAAGTCTGCAAAAATTCTAGACGTCATTTTATACATTTTTATCGGTTATATTTTAAGTACATATTTTTTGGACGAAAATTAGATAAAAAAATTACAGGCTAAAAGAAGTCTTTTTTTGTGTGCATAACATGAATTGGAAATTAATATGTAATCGAAGTGTACGGCTATTTCGTTTAAATGGCTCATTTTGCTGAGCAACATGCGATTTTAATTTGAAAACTAACTAAAAAATATTATGCTGCGTGGATTCCCAATAACTCTGAGAATGTATAGTTTAGCATGCGGTGTGGATGGCCTTGAGAGGTTTATAAGATGTGAAATAACTTTAAGAATTTGCAATCTACTAGGGTGCACGGATGATTAATGCCATAACAGCGTAACGTAGCGTTAGACCAAAAATGAAAGGACTTGATGAAATATTTCCAACGTCAAAATCAAGCTAACTGCATCTTAATTTGCTCTTCCACTTCAGCAACTAAATTACATTTCCTGAAATATTACTAAGGCTAATTTGAAGCATTATTACTCTAATTTTATGATTTATGTTACTGAACAAAGAGAACAAGCTAGTCAATTTATTTTAATATTCTTTCATTGTTTGATTGGTTTATATATAATGATACATAAACCAATCTAACGATATAGGTATAATATAAGTATATATATATATAACATTTATGAATAACCTGATCCGCCGCTGCCACTGCGGGTAATTAGAATAGTATATTTTGCCAGAATATCCATTCCTAAAACATATTTAGCAGTTATTGCTTATATTCATTAATATTTTTTTGTTTTCGTATATGATATCGGCATAGTATGAAATCCGGCATTCTATAGCATACCTCGTCATTTTATAAAATGTTTCAAACTGGCCGGCAATATGTGAAAACAGCAAATATTTTCACATTGCCTATGCATTTTATAGAATGCCAAATGACAAACTGGCAAGTATGAAATACATCTTCATATTATACACAATGCCTAGGTATATAATAAATTATGCAATATATTTGCAGTTGCAATGATTGTAACAAAGGATAGTTTCTGACGGAACTTCTGAAAGAATTTAAAACAATTATATGCGAGATCACAGTTCATTTTATGTAATGTACTTTCTTAGAACATAAAATGATTGTAATTGGCGATAAAAAAACAAATAGAATTAAAGATATTCCTGATCACAAAACTCTCTGATCAGCTGCGATTGCTCAGTCCAGCGGAAATGGCTGTGGATTCGTAAAACAAAGCGCCAAAATATGAAACGTCTTCGTGTGAAAATGTAAGACAGTACGGAAAATACCTTCACATTTTAATTGATTTATTTAGGCACAGAAGAGTTTATCCACTCATCTGTTAATTAATATTTATATTAATGCAACCTTGAGAATAATAGTTCTCAGTGTAGGATTTAACTGTTTTATCTCTCATACGCCTCTTCCAAATCAGAATTCTCCCTTAAATACTCATTAATTACCTAGTTGATTTTTTAAAAGGTAGATTACTATATTGGAATTTAAAACTTAATAGCGTTTTCATATTGTATTATTACTTTGTACTTACATTTATAATTCTATACTGAAAATTAAGGAAGCAACAAACTTAGTTTGACGAAGACTTTGAATAACACTGCATGAATTTCGAAGTTATTAGACACAGGTCTGTTTTTTCAGTTTGAGCCTCAAGAAGAAGATGAACCTGTGTATAGCAATTTCATGTGTTTCTTTTTCCATTTGACTTGTATCGTTTAGGTATTTTTTGGATGCAAGCAAGATGAAAAAAAGCCTTCGCAGGGAATCGAACCACGGACCTCTCAATTACGCGCTGAGCGTGCAGACCACTACACCACGAAGGCGGGAGAAATACCTTATATATTCCCCCTTTTAAAGGTCGGCTGAGGTTTTTAGGGGACCCAATCTCCAAACCCTGGGGGGTGAGTGAGTGAGTGAGTGAGTGCACCGCTATGATGGCTTCCGACCACGGACATGAACCAAACGGAATTAATATACCATCACGGCGGGAAAGACTCCAGAGTAACAAGGTTGAATATTATAAACTAATAACAGTTTTTACATATTGTTAACTGCAAGGCAATAAGCGTTATTCTGGTTATCTGCTTTAAGTTCTGAACTTTTGAAACATTATAATATTATCACGGTTGTTTCTGCTTAGGCAGTGTTCTGAGATTTTCTCTATTTTATCAAGGGCTATTCTGTTTTTGAGGTGTTAGTCGTCCACATTGCCCAGGCACAGTCCGCTGGTTCTTCAAGTGCCAGGTTCTTGTATGTACACAATGGAAGTAATAATGGTCCGTGTCGCCTTCCTCTCCGCATCGCAGAAAAGAGTATCCCTAAGTATGAATCTGTTCAGGTATACTGAAAATGTCCATGACCTGTCAAGAACTGTGTAGGCTAGCACAGTGGGTCTTTATTTCCATGTTAACTTTGGCAGTAAGCGAAATGTCCTTCGTCCTCCTACCTCTGCCTCGTCCATCTACTTGCCAATTTTGTAGCAGACTTGTCAAAGTTGTTCGCTTTAATATGAGACCAAGGAAGTTTAGTTGGTCTTTCTAATATATCCGTACAGTTGGCGCCTGCTTGGCCAGTAGGTCAGCGGCTTCATTGCCTTGAATCCCTGTGTGAGCGGGAACCCATTTTAAAGTGGGTCTTTGCGAAATAGGCATTGTCAGAAGCTGTTTTGAATTCTGTATACCAACGGACTACGGCGTTTTGACTGCGATAGCCGTTAGACTTGATGCAGAATCGCTGAGTATGGAGAATTCTCCTGTTGACATGTGTTCGCATATCTAATTGCAGCACTGATAGCTAGAAGCTGCTTGGTATACCGAGTTGTTCAAGCCTAATTTCCTTTTCCACTCGAATGTTACAACTCCATTTTCTAGTCTACAGAAGGCGCTGCCCGTGCCGTTCTCAGTTTTGGAGCCATCTGTGAAAAGGTTATTACTGTACCTCTGAATTGGTTGGTCGTTATACTGATACCGTCAGAGAGATTAAAAGCTGCTGGATGAAAGTTATTGCAGTTGTTTGCTCCGTAGTCCGAGTGGTGATAACTATGACCCAGAGTGTGAAGTTGACCCAGTATGGTAACCCTTACGATAGCTGCCTCCCTTTCTACTATCAAATCTAGGGGAGGAATTCCTGCTAGTTGTTGTAGGGCTAGTGTTGACGTGGTACGGTAGGCCCTGCATACTGAAGTAGCTGCTGTCTCTGAATAGAGAGCAGGGATCTTTTCATATGAGAGGTAAGTTCGCCACCCCAGATTGCTGCTCCATAAGTTATTAATCTTTCTGTAATGGTTCTATGCCAAATTTTAGTAGCTTAGATGAGATACCCCATTATGTGAAGTCATGCGTCTGATGTGTTGCCTTAGGATGCTAATTCGAGTCTTAAGATCCTGACATGTGGCATCAAGAAAGTCTGTCGTCGAATAGCCAAGATATTTCAATTGGGGGGAACATTTTACGGTATCCATGGAGTTTAATGTTGGGTTGCGTCTTAGCTGCCTGCTGCGTCCTATGAGCAAGCTTAGTTTCTCTGCGAAATCTGAAGCTTATGTGCTCTGGCCCATTGGGAGAACAGATCAAGACAGTATTGAGATTCTATTTCGAGGTTACTCCTTCCTGCTACAACTAGCATAAAATCGTCCGCATAGGCTATGATTCGAGCGTATTCTACGCTCTCAAACTGACGAAATGCCGAGAGAGAATCATCATCCAACACCTTTTTGGTTTGGGCGCCACTGTAGAGACTTTAGGATTTATTTTTGGAAGCAGGAGATGTAACGCCTTCGCCGGGAATTGAACCACGGACCTCTCAATTACGCGCTGAGCGTGAAGACCACTACACCACGAATGCTCGCTAAGAAAGAGGGCGAAATCCTTATATCGTTATTAAATATAATTAATACTACTACCTCTTGCTATACAACACGTTGAAAAAAATTAGTGTTTTGTTTCTAAAAAAATGTTTGATTATTCTCAGTTAGACTCGATAAAATCCTTTTTTATATATCAAATCAAAATCATAAATGCTGTGAAAGACTAATTTTATTTTTACCAAGAACAAGCATAACTTGTCTCATTAAGCAATTTGTAATAACTTTCAGACTGGCATGAAGTTTATTCCCTAACATGATATCTGCTTGTTTTTGGTGTCCGTTGCCAGATGTGACTATTTCAAAATTTCTGTATCTACATACACTGAAGACCTAATTCAAACGAGCACCTATGAGTACTAAATTTGCGATTGTACTGAAATGCAAAGAAAATCTTATTGGAGTCACTATTAAACTTACCTGACCAAGTTCACGTCCACTTGTTGAAATCCGGATGTTCTTGAATTGCTTAAAAGAGATATAAAATATGACTGAATTTTTTTTGGTACGATATTCTCGAAAACCTTTATGTTTTATGTGTCGAAAGGTCTGAATCGTTTATTCAAGTTCATTACTTCAGCTGCATCAAAGTTTAAAGTAGAATTATTCGGCCAGATTTTACAGCCCAGCACTTTGGCTTATTGTGAAATTTTAACATCTTTGCTTACTGAAAACTGGCTCTCTCCATCCAGGCTTTCAGACGGCTATAAAAGTTTTACTGGTTCGATATGATTCCTATATCGATCACTTGCCCCACTTTTCCAATAAGGCTCCTTTGAAGTTCAAACTTTTGTTTTTGCTTTTACGGCTGCAAAGGTCTTCCTTTCATTACTTAATGCAATTTTATTTGTTATATTTCTATGCGCAAAGGTCTA